TGAGATTATTGTATATGGATATATAGTTGTACTTTCTTACAAGATTCGCTTTAGTCGCCAGCAAACTCACAAGGAGGTCCTGAGAGGTCAGAGAATATATATATCGCTATATAAATCCACCATGATGGTGAGCGCTCACGATGTCTAGCGCCTCGTAAGTGTGCCAATAGCTCTCAAACGCTGGCTTGTTGTGTCATCGCACGCCATATATGTATACCATTACACGCATTATATACACATGTGTGTATATGTTTGTGTGTGTGTGTGTGTGTTCTGAAGCAGCTCATTTCAACGGCAAATACACCAATTGATAACTGTGTGACATCAAGTGTCTGTGTGTGTCGGACTTTAAGTGCCCCAACTGTACACACACATAGATACATATACCCACAGATGCTATCGCGTTGCTCACTTGCCTGCTGGCTGCCCTCTTTGGTGTCACTTACATAATTTACGCTCTTATGTCTTGCATTGATATCGAATGTCGTTTATTTTATATTTTATAGGCGACCAACTAATGCTATGCGTACGCACACTTCGGCTTTAGCCTGTAATTGTATTGTTGTTGTTTAAATATATTGTCCGGTCATTGCGTGTGGGCCATAAAGCCAGTGAATATGGTTCATCGGCATGTGTAGTGAGCATTGATTCGTTGTTTACGGCATATTGAGGAGCATGCGGATGTGGGTGTGTGTGCGCTGTGTTTTGTAGGTGACAGCGTGTAGGTGTGTAATATATTGCGGGTCTTGTGAGCGTAACTTAAGCTGTAGCTAAATTTATTATTGTCATAAATTTAATTCGAAACTTCACGTAATTCGAAATATGCAGAATACGCTCACAGCTTACTTATCCCCAACATTCTGAGCGATCTCAGAACTGGAGACGCAATAATTATTTGCTTATCAATGCAATAAAAATAGTTGATGTGTTTGTTGCTTATGTGAATTTATATAAATTATAATCAAGTGCTATATTTTTTTTAACAGCAAGTTGCCATTTTATTTTAGATCGTAAATTTTACTAATAATTTGATTTTTATTTATTACTGTGTACAACTTCTTTCATATTAAAATGAATTGGTTCTTAGCGATCAGCAGAATACTGCTAAGGGCCCGGCATACATTTGTCATAATCAGGTTGTTTGACAGTATTTTGTAGGATGTAGTGTCTGCGCTGGCAGGAGTCCTTATGCGCAAAGCCTAGACCTTCAATAATGTGCTGCCGGAGATAGTGGCTAAAGCCTTATTAAAGTTTGAGGTGAAATCGAACATCAAGTACTTCATAAATCCGTCTTTGCAACAACCCGCTCGTAACGTAGTGGGGTGCTATAAAGACATCCCGAATAGTTAGAGGGCAAACCACAGGGTGGGGTACTTGGTCTGCTTTGAATCATGGTGGAAGTTGAGCAACGAGGCTAAGGGCTAAGCTGCCGTTACGATTTTGTTCGTAAGTTTGAAGGAAAATTTTCTCTGATAACATGCCGACAACGGATATGTGGAAAAGAGAAGTCTCTAGAGAAAAGGTATAACGAGCTTTTAGGCCTTAGTTGTCAAAGTCGTATGGTGGAATGTCAGGTGGAAATATGCAGTCACTTTATCTTCCAATGATCAGCCTTTGAAAAACTGAAGCGGAAACTTCTCGATAGTCTTACCTTCGGTGAATAACAAAACTTAGCCGAAACTCAAAAAGCAAAAGACTGGCGTTCTAGGGTTTAGGATCGAACTTTTAGCTTGAGCACACCTAGCGGGACGAAAATTTTTCGAAAAAATCAGAATTTTTTTTTAACTTTTGGCGAAGAGAAAGGTTTTGTTTGTAGTTTGCTAATAACAATTTTCTTAATTAATTAAACACTCTTTCTTTATTTTAATTAACAAATTTTTCGTAATTAAAAACATATTTAAACATAATTAACAAAAATGTGTTTTGTTAATACATTTTTGTAACTTTTCGAGTTGTAATTTATTTAATTTTTGTTAATTTTCAGTTAAGAAAAAACTAAAAAAATTAACAAACTTCAATTACGAAAAGATTATGAAGATAAACAAAAATGTATTATTTTGGAAAAGATTTAAAAAAATTAACCGAAAATAATTAAGAAAGTTTTAACTTTTTTAATTAA